ACAAGGTGTTTTACAAAGTGTAGGTGGATAAATTTCTGAAGCATATCTGTATAAACCTGCTGAAAGGGCTGCTCAGAGGTTAAGCAGATAACTTTATAGAAGCTGAATAATCCCACTGTCTGTTACTCTATATAATCTTGCTAGAAAGCCTGTTTTTCTACAGAGCAATGATACAGAAGGTATTTGTGCGTAGTGATTACAGCAGTAGAAATCAATTGCACGCAGCAAATAATTTGTTAACACAGGGCTGCACATTATATCATCAATAAAGGGATTCATTTGTTGAACTGTAATGAAGGTGAGAAGAAAGCCAACTTCACACTGCTGTAGCTAATCCAGACATAATGCTGACAACAAATACGTGTAGTGTACAAATATAGGTTTGCATGTTCTTATACTAAAGGTTTCCTTCACAACCACCAGCTCTATACGTGCTTCTCATCTTCAGTATATGCCACAAGTATCTATTGAGCAGCTCCTGGAGTTTAGTACTTAGCCTGATTTTAAGGAACATGTAGACAATCACACTGCTACAATTAGCACGGCAAAGGAAAACTCAATCATTCCAGCATCACTACATCCACTAAGATGCCTTCTTATAAGATAGGATAGCACAGAATGGTTCAGTTGGAAGAGATCCACGGAGATCATTGAGTCCAGATGCCCCTTGAACGCTGCCATGAGTGGGGCATCAGCCACTTCTGAGGGCTCAGGTGCCAATCTGAGCTGAGCTCCCCTTCCACAAATCCTGCTCCCTCCTTGCACGTACGCCGTGCTGTGACAGTCACAAATCATTTGGCAGAGAAGCCTCCCCGAACACCTGTGAGGTGGGTTGGTCTAATAATCCTTGCTGCAGAGGAGGTTTTCCAAGTGTGCTGCTGATGGCATGTGCTCAAGGTCACCTGGAGAGACAGCAGCTGCTGGGCTGACAAGCAGATGTCAGCTCTGCCTCTGCTCCCAGCATTCCTTCCCCAAAGTCCTCCAGAAGGTCTGTAGCCCCTACCTGCAACAACCCAGGCAGAGGGGCTGCCTGGTGCACCCCTATTTGCAGAGGGACAAGCAGAGTAAGGCATGGTGTGATCTGGTCTTCTCTTGCAGAGATTCTTCAGTTCTGGGTGATTCCCACCATCAGGGCCAGATCCAGCGTGATGCTCTGCACGGACTGGCAGTGCTGAAGGCTGAGATTTGCCTTCCCAAAGATCTTGTGGGATGTGTCTTTCCTTACTCTGGGTTGGAGGATGAGTTTAAAACGATCCTCTTTGAAGCAAAGCCAACAAATGAGGAGGCAGATGAAAAGACAAGCTGTGCATCAGCGGGGGGAAATAATCCCTCGCAATTCCTGCAGGTAACTGGAAATCCCAAAGCATGGGATTAGCATTCTATAAATCAGGTGTAAACAAACTCAGTGGCAGTGGAATGCCTAAGTCCCTTAGCCCACTTACAAATCAAACCTGCTCTGGAAGGATTCAATTATTTCTGTGATCTCACCTTAGCTAGGGATTAACTGGCACTGGAGATCAGGAAGCCCATTATATTTGAATCCGTATATATACTTGCTGGGGATAGTTTTTGCTGCACTTGGTAGAAGGAAGATGCAAGGCCCTAAAATACTTTAACTTTCAGGGTTACCACGAGGCCCATTTGGTTTTTATAGTCAGCCAATAGTCCCCTTGCATTCTTCTGGAACAAATGCAAGATGTAGTTTCTTGGGCAGGGAAAAGAATATGATATTTCCCAGCATCTGCTGGGAGCTGGGAGAGGGTAGTGAAGAACCTTGCAGTGTGCAAAGGCGTTTTCTACAAGCTAATTAATTATCCTTAGGATCAGTCATGGGGTGGGAAGGCGGGAGGGGTGCAACAGCGAAGGCTTAAATACAAGGAAAGAAAGGAAAATTACTGCTGAGTTACTGCTTAAAACAGAAGCACATGTAAATTTTACCTTTGCTGGCCTATTCTGGGTGGCTTTCAGACATTTAATTGGTTAAGACAGATATATAGCACTGTCACTATCTGCTGGGGACCCATATAAATTGTCAGCGGTGGTTTCTTTTGCCGTTTCATGTAGTCATGTCTGATGGCTTGAGTGTTATGGGAAGGAAGCAAAATACAACTCATCCTGTCAAGAGCTGCTCTGTATTGTAATTGCAGTATCTATAAGGAGTGTCAGGGTTGGGTTATTGGAGATGTCAGAAACAAAACGGGAGAGATTAAATGAGCACAAAGAGCTGCAAAATGAGGAGGTAATTGCACTTCATGAGAGTGCAAAGATAACACTGGGGATGTAGATCTCGAACAGTGCTGCATGGAGCTGTGATTCCATGCCTTGCATCCCCTGGCAAGTGATTCTGCATGAGAGTTTTGGATGGGCTCATCTCCAGGTGTGGTGGCAAGTGTGCTGCTTGCTAAAGCACAGCCTCCAACCTGGGACCATTCTGGGCTTATCCAGCACTTTCATCAGCTTTAATGTGCTGCCCCAGGTGAGCCAGGCTGAGCTGCCATGGGTTTCTGGGAAGCCACGGTATTATTGAGGAGGGGGCTGAGCACAAATGCTTTGCCTTCTTGCAGGTGCCAGTTGCTGGTTATCATCCCAAAACAGGAGGAAAGCTCTTCTGGCTACCACTGCCTGGGCTTTCTTCTTATTATGTGAAAGTGTCTGCAGAAACACTTCTGAATGATGCCTACTGTTATTGGACAGTATCTGTTTTCCTTCAGCTTCTGTTTTCTCTGTGGGGCGTTTTGGAGGATCTGGAGGCTTGCTGCCTGTGTAAGCTATGTCTGTAATGACCCATGAACTCTAAGGAGCCTTTCCAAGGCCTTTTATAATTGATGGAGGAAAACAAGCTCCCCAGGGCTCAGCTTACCCCACCGATCTGGGCAGTGGCTGTAGGGGTGAACCAGCTGCAGTGTTCCCACACCTCAGTTGAGCAAAAGGGGACCAGGGCAGCTTGCTTGCACTCCAGTAACTAGAGCAGTGAGATTAATTTGACCCCAGCATATGCCAAGCTATATGGAGGGGTTACTGCGTGCGCTCAGGCTGTCTCTGTTAGCAAGCCTGGCAGTGCCTTCCAGCTTCTTCATGAATAGACAGGCAGCTCTTTAGGGAGCTGCTCCCAGGACCACTTCTAAGGGTAACACAGGCTTACTGTTTTCCCTGTCTAAGTGGTAACTCTTCCTGTTTGTTGTTTGGACCCGTTATTTTGATCTCTGAGCTCCTGAGCCTTCCAGCCTCTAATGAAGCCCTTTGTGTGATGCTGCAGTGAGGCTCAGAGGTGGCATTGTGTCCGTGCAGGTGGGAGCAACCTTCAGGTCAGGAACAGAGCTGTGAACGGAGGAATTGTGCTTGATAGCCACAGAAATCAGACATGCAGTCCCTTTAGAAAGTCAGGGACTGCATGGCTTTCCCAAAGACAAACAGGGAATAAGGGGCAAAGAAAGGCAAACCCCCAGCAAAGCATTAGAAGGGATTAACATGGGCTGATCCCTGAACAGCTTCTTGCACTGCAGCCTGTTTTTTTCTCTGTTGCAGTCTGATTTTTTTTTATATATTTTACTATTATCCTCTCTTCCTTTGTTCTGCTTTCATTTTCCTGGAGTGAAATAGAAAGGTCTGGGATTATTACTGGCAAATTCAAAGCAGGAGTGGGGTCATATCATGAAAATAGTGTTTACATTGACACTCCTGTGCCTCCTCGCTGGTTATATTCTATTGCTTGGCATTTCAAAGGGATGAGTATTACAGACCTGAATGGCTGATTGCTTTTGAGATTTGGATATGTATAAAACAGTAGCAGTCCTGGACAGCAGAAAACAGCTGCACATATGCATACATACACAATATGCAGTTTAATGGGGAATAGGTAGGATGAGGTGGAGAAGCTCATGCCTGTACCTGACAAACACGACTGGCATCGTTCCTGAAGAGAGAAACCATTACAGAAACGACGAGACAAATGCCAAGCAGTGCTTGTAGCCAGAGCAGAAGTCCTTCTGTTGAACACTCTTTTATGAATTTGGGATTTTTGGATTACAAATCTCACCTGAATTCTGTGTAGCAGCATTGTCATAATTAAACTCTCAACCACTGCAGCAGTGGTCACAGCACCTATTAGTGAATATATGCAAAGACTAAAGGGACAGCCTAAAACTTTATATGTGGAGTCTATTCCCATCAGCCTCCCATATTTCCTTTCTCTGGAAGTTCAAGGGACGTATTCTCGTTTCTCTCCAGCAAGGAGGTTGGTGTGGCTTTTCTAAGCTTAGAGGAGGATGTGCACTGTTATGAGACATCTCTAGTGTTTTTTCCCATGAAGCTTCTTGTTTGATTAAGGCATGTTGCATCAGGTAATATTGTTTACCAGCAGTTAATTGGAATCCACCTGGGTCCAGTAACCAACTTTTTATGGGATCTGATCAGCTGTTAACCTGAATTCAGAATACCTCCCCTAGCATGTGTAGAGTGGGCTTAGAATCGAGCCCAATTAGTTTGTAGTATGGCTTCTCATTTGCATCGTTATTCGAGTCCTGTAGAGTTGAGCTTTGCAGGAGGGAAGGAATTTGGCCATATGCCTTTCCTTCAGTGCCAATTTGGATGAATTGATGTTTGATGTATGTAGGTAACGCTACCAAGTCCACTGAAGTGCACATAGGTTAAGTATGCACTGCAGGCAATCATCCATTAGTATAAAAGCTCCTTGGTATAATATTTAGACACCAAAATGACAAAAAAAAAAAAAAAAAAAAAACCACAACCTGGACCTGATGATAGCTTTTGCAACAGTATATAATTCATGCATTATAGCTCTGCTATTCATGTTTAATATTCAGAAATAATGAAACACATTTCATCAGGAAATGCAACATGTGAAATGCAGTGGGTATAAATAAACACTCAATTGAAGCAGAAGTCCCCTTTTCTTGCTGTGAATCTCTTCCTAACTTTATAAATACCCCAGAATACTTGGCTTAAGAATGTCTTTGAAATGGTGTTGGTGAAGTGAACCATTAGTAGAACTCTCTATAACTCACATGGAAATGTGAAACGATGGCCCCATGAGAGGCAGGCAGAGCTCCCTCTGCTCTGCAAGGCAGCATGTCTCCTGCAATCTCCAGAGCCAGACTTCCATGTCATTGGTGTCCATGAAACATAGAGAACCTAACTCATGATTGAAAGGATTAATAACTAGCAGTCACCACACATTACTTGAGAAAATAACTGTCTTGTATGATTAAACAAGTGATTCTTGAGCATCAGTGTGCTTGGGAAACTCTTTTTGGGAATTCTCTGGTGCTCATCACCAGTAATATATCGTGTTTTGTTTTTTTTTTTCCAGCAGAAGGAATAACTGAGGAGATGAAGACCATGTAATCATGTGCTCCACACCTTCAGGAGCTTTGTGTCTTTGCATCTCCAGCTTGTGCATTCTATCCCAGTGGCACTGCACAAAGACTCAGGTAGGAGTCACCTTCTCTGAGCTAGAACAAATACCACATGCTGTTTCTTGTATATATAGTGAGAAACAGGCCCTTTTGGGAAGCTTCAGGTAGTGGAAAACTTCCAAGACAGGGTAAAGGAGCTGTGTTCAGGAGAAATAGTTTCTCTGTGAGCTTTAAGAAGCATTTCTGGAAAGAGTTCAGTTGTAAAAGTCAGCATTGCTATGGCTAAAGCCTGATGAGATGAACCCCAAAAGCTGAACTGAGGATAAAACCCTTGTAAAATGCTTTTGGCATGGCATTGGTGTGGCCCCTTCCATAGCAGTGCTGATTTTCTGCCCTCTGTCATGAATCTTCTGATAGTGGTATTCCTTATTGAATCGCAGCTTGTGATTTACAGCTCATTAGAATCTTCAATTTCACTTTCTCCTGCAGAAGAAGAAATAGTTTGTGTGAAAACTCTTGAGTAATAAATCTCAAAGGGTCAAGAAATGCCAGGAAAACGCAGTGCTTCTGGGAATGATTATTTAAATATCCAGTGCTCACCTTTCAAACCATCTCATGGCTGTGGGACTGGCAATGCCACAGTCAGGAACTACAGCCACTGAAGCACACTTACATCGCTCTGAGAACATGAAGAGGATATAATGTAAGAAAGAATCCGTTTTTCTAGGTTGAAATAGCTCTCAGTGCGTTTGCTGGTCTATCTGTGATCCTGCCGTAATCTTCGGAATGCTAAGGACCCTGATACAACATCCACTGAGATCAATGACTTGTTTTGTGCATCTCTCTGGGCCCTGGATGAGGTCCAGCCTATATATACACAATCTGCATTTTCATGAGTCATCTCAGGAGCTGGAACATACCAAGACAGGTATAATTTTCAGTTTCAGCATGAATTTTGTTACCTTCCACTATGGCTCTAGCTAGGTCAATCTGCATTTCACTTCTGGACAAGTCTGATCTTATATCCCTACAGCACATTGCTCAAATGATATGCATCCTCATAAACAATTTCCCAGTGACTCAGGCCTTGATACTAAAGCATGCACGGTTCATGCATCTGTTCTATTGTAAATCTGCTGGTGCTTTCACACAGACTGCTCAAGAAGCAGGAAAGACACAGAAACATCTGTTTAGAGTTTTGAGCAGCTTGTTAGATGAATTCAGCACCTGGGTTTCCTGTGGTGAATCGGCTATGCTCTCCTCAGCATGTATGAGAAAGGAAGAAATACAACGCTTGTAGGGATCCACGCTCTGCTCAGTTCATGGAGGATTGCTCTGGGTATTTTCTGCCACTGCCATCGGGAACCACCAGTGCAAAACCTCCAAAAGAGGGGAACAGTGCTCTGAGAGAGGAAAGCTGACTGTACTAAATGCCAGTAAACCAAGTTCTATCAGTGGAATTGAGCCAGTAGACAACTTGGCCTTTTAGCATTAAATATTATGGCTTATAGTCACAGCAGTTCTGACAAAATCATTGTATCTGGTTAGAAAGTCCCAATTCCAAAGCCGTTTTCTTCCCAAGCCTCTTCCTACCTTTCCCCACAGTGAAGGAGCCCCTTTAATTCTGATTGCTATTACGCAACCAAAGGGACATCCATGATCAGTGGGCACGGTGGTGATGGTTGGACTAAAAGATCTTAGCAGTCTTTTCCTACCTTAATGATTCTGTGATTTGACTAGATCTCATTTTGGTGACAGTTTCTGCCCATGTCAGGAAATCAGTAGGAAGGACCCAGCTCTGACAAAGGAGATAAAAGGCTGCTGCCCCATGACAAGTTACCTGTTGTGACAGTCCTCTGTTTTTTCTCCTCTGTATGCCATTGCATAATCAATGAAAATACAGGTGCTATAATTAAGAAATACACAAGAGAGTTTGGCTAAGCAGGTTATTACAGCAAAAAGAATAGATGAAGGGCTTATCCTTGTCCTGGGCTTGCTGGAAAACTCCAACAAGAGGGATCTCCTGAAATCTCAGCTCTTAAATGGGTCTAGGAGAGGTACAACCAGCCTCCACCCCCTCCAGCAGCACAGCTGAATTGCCTTCGCCTGTGCTCCCAGGGCTGACTCATTGCTCACCTCAGGTGATCAATCAGAGGTTCAGGCCGTGATTCAACAGTTCCCATACAGACATGTTTGATGTTGAGGGCTGATTTGCCATAGCTCCCTTGTAAGTAGAGCAAGGAATCCAGGATTGCATCCTTCAGCCTGCTGGAAGGACTTGCATGCATGGAACGGGGAGAACAGGCTTACAGCAAGCTGTTTGTGGCAACAACATCTTTTGTTCTTCACTAATGCTAGTGAGGAACACTGTGTAAACTATGTAAACTGTGTTCACGTGTTTAAGTCACACCAGAAACACAACTCCAGAAAAATTTCTGCTGTACCTATGTCCTAACCCTACAGCCAGCACACAGCAGGATGGCTCTTGTCCTGCAGTCCCTTGTGGATGGAATTCCTTCCATTCCTTTGGGCTCGTCCCTTCCAGTAGCACTGATGTTCAGTTAGAAACAGGGCTGTGACTCTGTGGGTCATTTCTATCCCTCTGTGGTGACCCGGCCAGAAAGTTTTGTTCTGTGTACTTCCACTGGTCACTGAGTTATTTGTCTCTTTTCTGAGTGACTTTGATTATTATGTATAGTAGTGTGTGGTCTCCAGAGGATTAAAAGCCTCTAATTCTATTTCATCCAACTCACCAACTGGCTGTTTCCTGCACGAGTCAGTAGCAGCTATGGCATGTATTACTACACATGATACGAAGGACTTCGTAATAAATATTTAGTGTTCCTTTAATCTGTCTGTTCTTATATCATGTTCTCCAGATAATCCCCTACTCCACCATGTACTATTTAATAATTCCTTTTCTGCCAATCTGTTCTTCTCTTTCGCACAGATTCACATCCTCCTGCCCTGAGATGTGCTCTCTGTCAGCCTCTTTTACTGAACCCTACTCAAGGTCCTGGGTTTTCATGACTGCGCAGTTAAAAGGAAAAACATTTGTTGCCTGTGTGATTTGTGAAGGACTCAAAGCTGCCTTGTGTTCACATCCCAGCCATTTGGTGCACTGTAAGGATTTTTCTTCCTGAACGGAGGCCAAAGGCTTTCAAGGCACAACATGCTGTGGTGCAGCAGGGCTGGTGATGCTCCTGGTTTTGTGCTGTCTGATCCTAAGCAAGCTGTGCCCCTTGTAATGTCTCAGCCACCACTTGGGTAGATTACTACCTTCAGTTGGGTCTCTTCACCCCCAGGGAACAAAGCATGCAAGAGATGTGAAGGGGATGTCAGTGATGAAAGGACGAGTGAAAGAACATAAACAGACAAAGAGTACATCTGTAATCGTGTGATGCTTCACTACTCGAAAGTTAGTTACTTGTACTGCAATTAAAAATGTACTATAATTAACTAGTTCTACAAAACCTACTAATGAAATTATGTCATTACTTAATACCAGGAAATAATGCTGAATGGAAGGCATGATCATCTATTAATAGCGTAGAGGTCCTGTTTTGAAAAGATCCCCAAATTCTTTTGGGGTGACGTTAAACGCCAACCTCCTTAAAGAACACTTAGTGCACCTTAGTAGTATCTATTATAGTATATGGGATTTTAATTGCTTTATTATAAAAGAAAGCAATATTCACCCTTTTATGAATTTTGATTTAATGACTTTAGCACATTCATTATTAGTTCATTATGGTTCTGTGGAATTGAGGCCTCCTGAGTTAAAAGGATGTCCCCACACTAAGCTGGCCTCAATTAAATTGTAATCATATTGTGGTTAATCTCAAGGACTTGCTCTGTGAGCGCAGGAGGATGCGAGGGAGAAAGGCAATGAGGGGAAATCTTATTTATGACAATTTGACCAGTTTCTCATCTGGGCCTGGAGACAGCAAGGGGTGACTGGCACGGTCCAGCAGGTGCCAGTGAAACTTGGGATGGGGCTGGAGGTGTCTTACACAGAGTCACTGATGGACTGGGATCCATTTGTGTGTGCAAGTGGGAAGAACAGAGGAGCCTATTTGCAAAGTAAAACGTCTGTATTCAAAATGCTATAGTTACTGGTGGAATGGCAGTTTCTGGGGAAGGACAGCTGCATAACCAACAGTTCTGCCTCTGTCCCCTTGTTTCCCAGGCTGGACACACAAAAAAGCTGTTTGAGCTTTTGTTGAGCTTTATATATTCATATTTGACCAAGGGGCCACATTAAGAAAATGAGTAAGTTTTGATGATCTGGAAGAAGATGAGAAATTCAGCTTGCAAGTGATTTGGCTGTAATATTTCCTCTTTGATGTTCTGCCATACTGAACAGCATAATAGCCCTTCCAGAAGAACACTCCAAGCAGAGCTATTTTGGGATTACTTTTCTCCTTTAGCTTTCATCCTGTGGTTTTCCTGTATCTTCTTTTTATCTCTCCGATCTCAACGAAAATGTCTCAAGCTCTCACCAACCACTTCTAATGTTTCAAGATCCCTTCAAGCTTAGATCTTGGGTATAAATAAGAGGTCTTGTTAGTAAAGCTGGAGTGCTTTGTAACGATTGTTTGAAAGGCTTTACATTATTAGGCTTTTTTATTCGACAGTGGAGCCAGCCCTCAAATCTGAGGCCCAGAGCAGAAGAAAACAGGGAGAAGCTGCATTCCTGTGTGTTGCAGAGCAATTATTTGTAATGTTGAGTTTAGGGAGGATTTCCTTGACATGTTTCCATTTAGAAAAGCAGATCCTCAATGCTTAGAAAATTGAATAGCATCTTCAGTATTAGTCCGTAATTTGATGTAATTTGAGCTAAAAGGTTGAAAGAGAAAAAAAAAAACACATTAACCTCCAAAGAGACTGGAATCCTGCGTTCATGCAGTGGTCCTGTTAACATTTATAAGAGTAGCAGTTCCTAAGGTGCAGAAGGAGAGGTTTGTTTCTATGAGTGGAAAGTAAATCAAGTCTTAAAGGTCAGTTATCAGGAACAAACCTCACCAGATTTTGTGCCATATTGTTTAATTATAACGAACGACAATTACTATGGGAACATCAGTAACAGCACTAATGTCAATATTTCATAAAGCTTGTATAGATTGCAGGAATACGATGGAAAGTGTTGTACTTCATGGAATAGCAAAAAGCTGCTTGCAAAAATGATGGCTCTGTGGCAATCACTCGTGTAGAATTATTCACCATATTTCCAGGCTGTAGTGGTCTCTTCCTCAGCTTGCAGACACAACAGGTCATTCATTTTCTGCATTTCACAAGCCTTTACCTTCCTGCTGGATGTTGCTGGTGAACAAAGGTCAGGCCAGAAGCATTAGCTTTGCTGGATGAAACTCCATGCTGTGCTCTTGGAGTTCTCTGAACTCAGGCACATCCATTTGCTGTAAGAAGTTCTCTCTTTCCTATGCCACCGAAGGCATTGTCTCACAAATGATTTATCACCAAGGACCCAGCCTCTGAGTTCTTGCGTAGAAAATACTCAGCACTGGCAGAACAAAGTCCAGAGAGAGAATGGATGAAGGGATGTTTCACTACTCTAAGAATATGTACATATTTATGAGAGGAGCTCTGGTTGCAGAGCTCCCAGCCGCAAAAGCAGTGACCACTGGAGTGATTCAGTAGTCAATCATGTTCAGCATGGCCACAAATGCGTTGCTGCTGACAGAAAGCAAGAACTTCACCCTAAGAAACAAATGGGAAGAGCTGCATTGTGTAAAACACATCTTAGAGAGCAGAAATTCCTTGTCCCAACCTTCCTGCTGCAGGTTTTTGGGGTCAGGCCAACCTGTGTCTTCTGAGGCCAAATCCAAAAGCAATCTTGCTGCTTTTTTGTCCGCACAGTAACTTCAAATCAACACAACATTAACAAGTTTTGTTTCTGAAATGATTGGAGAAAAGGAACATATTTCTGAGTACAAGTCTATGGGAAGCAATTGGAGTATTTCTTTTGCTTGTCCAGCTTCTGCCTGAGAATGTTTGCATGTCTGCATGTGGTGGTTCCTAATCTTGTGGCTTTTAAGTTGTCCATTCCATCCACTCCCTGCGGTTACTGAGGTGGATGCTTCCTCCTATTGAGATTCATGTACATAGGTCCACAACTCATCCATTTTTTTCTGAAAATATCATTGCAGAACAAATTTAGATGGTGTGGTTTCCAGTGAAAAGGCACCAAGATTAACAAATGCAGTCGATTCGTACATGGCAAATGTGTTCTTCACTATTTAGGCAACTTCACGATGTGCTTTTTGATACAAATGGTTATAGCTGCTTTAAAGAGCCTCATTCCCAGAGTGGAGCAGAAGGCAGCAGAGTTGCTTGTGTGTCAGCTTTCTGCCTGCTGCTGCCTGGCACTTGGGAATTCAAACAGAGATGTGTTTGCAGAGAAGAGTTCCCCATGGCACATTTACATTTCACAGAACAGCCAGACCAACATCCTTCCCCTTTTTCCTGCCATACCCTCAGGCTGGAAACTGCAAGGGGGGGGGGAGGACAACACTGAGCACCACAAGTCCCTGGCTCCAAGACAACAATGCCTATGCCAGGGCTTTCTCTGAGACCAAGCTGTGTTTTGCTTTCCAGGCCATGTGTGCCTGCAGATGCAGGATGCACTCGTAGTACTTGTATGTTCCACATGCCCCTGAGTGATCACCAAACTCCTCCGAAGGGAAATTGTTATCTCACCATTTGTGCATGTGTGTTTAATTCTGAGTTTAATGGGCTTAGAGAGGAGCAGGTAGAGAAAATGCTGGTGAGAGATGGATGCAGTCAAGCACTGTCTCTGCTTTTGATTAGTTTGCAAAGGTGAGTAATTGAATCCCAACAGCCTTCCTGTGCTGTTGCCTT